TCTGTCCTTGAGAACTCGACGAGCACGGTTTCTTACGATCAATTCCTTCTCAAATTTCCAAGATTTCTTCATAAAATTCATATTAGCATTATAAATATGTAAGGAATATATTTATAATACTCATTTAATTCTTTATAATTTCAATCATTAAAATTCCAATTGAATACTGAACCTTGTGCCTCGCTGATGGTGCCCATTGCTCTAGACATTCCATCAACCGCTAAACCGTAAATAAATGTAAAATATTATGTAATTATATTTGCAACAAGCAATTAATTACAAAGCAATTAATTACAAGCCCCGAGGTATGATACATAACATTATTTTTTAAATTAATTAAATAGGTGTCATCCTTTTGAAATTTAGCATCAATTAAATTATCGAAAAAAATGATATTCTTTACCCGCTGTGTTTTTTTTTTTGCAGAACGCAGATCCCTGGTGGAAATCAAATTTCTTTATATCTCAACCGGTATTATTTGGTACCTGGGATGGAGTATTTACTTCTTGTTTAATAAATATATTTGGAGTCATTGTGTTTTTACGATCGGGATGGATCGTGGGCCAGGCTGGGGCAATAAATGCTGTGCTCATCATTCTGAGTACTGGTGAGTAATTATTTTTATGCATTCAGAGATCAATTAATGAAAACTTTCGGGTTAAATGATCCAAATATCTTTGGCCTTGGACTAAAACATTATGTTATAGTCAATATTTCAGTAATAATGATACTTTGCCTCATCCAAATAAAAAATTGATGTGCCTCCCGTACTCTGACAATCCGAGGAGACAAAAACTTTCGCCTCCAAAATGTTTAGATCATTCTCACGGTTTTTTGCATTAATACTCTGTTATTATTGTCAATAATAATGGTCAGAGGATTGACATAAATTTTCTAATATTTTGGTTTCAGTTTGTGTGGCTTTAGTAACAGTTCTATCGGCTGTTGGAATCTGCGAAAGGTGCAGAGTAGAAAGTGGAGGAGTTTATTTCCTTCTCTCTTATGTGCTGGGCTCGAGATTTGGAGGATCCATTGGCCTACTTTATTGTTTCGGTCAGGTAAAAATTTCGACATCGCAAGAACTAAATTATATTATTCATCGACGTAAATTTCTTAAATCTTTTTACAATACACACATCCGTATTTCTCCCATTCACCTGCTTTTGCATGATAAAATTCATAGTGATAGGAAAAATAAAATATTCCGTGGTAAAAATGATTTCAAAAAACCTCTTCCTAAGAATGTCTCATTAATTCCTATTTCTTTACATTAATCAGAGAATTTACTCTGTAAAATTCCAAAACAATGATCCGTTTTACATCAGTCGGTTCGGACTCGAATAAATAAATTTGAATATAAAATCAATTGGTGTCATGATTTTTTCTGCTCTTTAATATATTCCGTAATATATCAGTATATATAGGTTCGTATTCACCAACGTTCCGCCCTAACAAAATTTACCTCAGAAATTATGGAACAGATTAATTTTTATTAAATATTTCTCACCGTGTGACGCAAAATTGATGATATCTTCATAATTACATGGTTAATTGCTCCCAATTGCTTTATGGCGGCACTCATCTCTTTACTTTATTTAATTTTATTACAGGCAGTTGGTTGTGCATTAAATGTACTAGGCTTCGGAGAGTCAATGGCTGGATTAGTAAATCTGGAAGCAGATCCGTGGGCGCAGAGGGGTTTTGCATGTGCCGCCGTTATACTTTTATCAGTCATAAACGTTGCCGGTGTCAAATGGGTCATTAAACTGCAGTTTATACTTCTGCTCATTCTGCTATTGGCTGGCGTTGATTTTGTCGTTGGTAGTTTTACACACGTCGAACCGGGTAAGCATTTTATCATCAGCAATCAATGAAATGCTGATAATTCATTCATTAATTGAATCTTGAATCCCCATGAATCAATCCGGAAAATTCGAGGAATTGACGAATTTTTCTTATCATTTATCGAGAAAAAATGAATTTAAGATGCAGATATGACGGAAAAAAATTTCAGATGCTGGATTTGAAGGCTGGTTGTCCGGAAACTTCCGAAACAATACTTTTTCATCGTACCAAAATGGCTGCAGTTGGTTCACAGTATTCGGTGTATTTTTTCCAACTGTAACTGG